CGGGGTTAAAAATTGGCTGGATGGCCGAGCCCAGAGAGTCGTGGTGAATGGAACTAAATCCAGTTGGCGGCCCGACACAAGCGGTGTCCCCCAGGGCTCAGTTCTAGGGCTGGTTTTGTTTAATATCTTTATCAATGACCTGGATGAGGGGATTGAGCGTGCCCTCAGTAAATTTGCAGATGACACCAAAGTGGGTGGGAGTGTTGATCTGCTCGAGGGGAGGAGGGCTCTGCAGGGGGACCTGGACAGGCTGGATCGATGGGCCGAGGCCAACTGTATGAGGTTCAACAAGGCCAAGTGCTGGGTCCTGCACTTTGGTCACAACAACCCCATGCAGCGCTACAGGTTTGGGGAAGAGTGGCTGGAAAGCTGCCTGGTGGAAAAAGACCTGGGGGTACTGGTTGACAGATGGCTGAATATGAGCCAGCAGTGTGCCCAGGTGGCCAAGAGGACCAATAGCAGCCTGGCTTGTATCAGGAATGGTGTGGCCAGCAGGAGCAGGGAAGTGATTGTGCCCCTGTACTCGGCACTGGTGAGGCTGCACCTTGAATACTGTGTTCAGTTTTGGGCCCCTCACTGCAAGAAAAGAGATTGTAGAGCTGGAGCATGTCTGGAGAAGGTGGAGTTGGTCTCCAGCAGGGTGGGTGTTGGTCTCTTCTCCCAAGTAACAAGCAATAGGACAAGAGGAAATGGCCTTAGGTTGTGCCAGGGGAGGTTTAGATTGGACATTAAGAAAAATTCCGTCACTGAAAAGGTTACCAAGCACTGGAACGGGCTGCCCAGAGGAGTGGTTGAGTCCCCATCCCTGGATGTGTTTAAAATATGGGTAGACGAGGTGATTAGGGACATGGTTTAGTATTGGACAGGTACGGTTGGACTAGATGATCTTACAGGTCTTTTCCAACCAAATGATTCTATGATTCTAGCGTCTGGCTAAGCTAGAGAGGAGAGCATGGAGGACCACGTGGTTTCTTTTGCTCAGGGAAGGTTGTCCATCCGGTCTCTTATCATGCTTCTAGTTCAGCCTCCCTAGTCTGTTTTACAATCCTTGAACTCAAAATGAAAAAAGCAAACAAAGCGATGAGAGAAAATGTGTGTAGGGACTGTGTGTCCATGCTTTCCAAATGTGTTGAATCCTCTGAAAGAAACCTTTAGAAATTTTGCCTTAATTTCTCCCATGTAAAAAAACCTGCAATAATTATGAAAGTGGTAAGGCTGTTATTTGTTAGCCCTCAGTTCCACTGTTTTTGTGGTGGATGTATGCAAAATTATTCAGATGCCATGCATACACCCTAACAAACACTCAGCCCAGCATCCTGGGTCAGAAATGAATCTAGCATAACTCCTTAAGCCTTTCGAGTGTATATGTTGGGATACGTTTTGAATCATCAAATAAGAGGCTATCGATTTGTTTGCAGTTCCCGATTATACAAATATGATTGCGGGGCGCATGCGCACGAGGACATGACCCGGCCCCGCATACGACTTTTGGATTATTTTGTTGTCTTTTTTTCTATAGCTGCCTCTGCCGTCAGTACGCCACCCTTCTGAAAACCACGGTTCTAGCAGTCTTTCCATTCTTAAAGAAACAAAGCGCTCTTTAAGGGGCGGTGACCTTTCAACCGCCAGGGTCAAAGGTTACTAACAAAATGGCGGCCGCGGCTGAGGGGGAGCGCGTTGGCGGGGCCCGGCGGGCGCGCTGCTGAGGGGGAGCCTCGCCCGGCCT